AGGAGTGGCGTGTTGATTGTCTAAACTGAAGCAGATTAAAATTTTGGTGTGGTTCTTTGGACCTGATGTGTGGAGGATTGTCATTCGTTTTGTCAATTTGGTGGCTACACACATAAGCATTCATTAATGCTTCAATGTGTCAGCTTTGCGTTTCATTTACCCATCCCCATCCACCAAACCGCAGTCCTTTATTAATTCATTCATTCCTTACCTGGCTTCAGCCTACATAGATTTCATAGAGCACTCCGCTTAGCTTCGCATTTGCCTGTACGACCGTCTTGGCATATTCAACAATGTGCATTGTCACAACGTTGCAGTGTGGCTCACTCCATTTTAAGCGACCTTCTCACTGCATACAAACAATCGTTTCAAAATACATGTGATTTCAGCTATTCAGGCTGACGATCTAAGTGGTTCCTTACTGCAAGGACCAATAGCCAGTGGGTCATTAACTGGGGTTTCCTACCCACCTTCAACGCCATTATTAATGTTGGATTTTGGGTTGTCCGCAACAAGATATGCCAAGTGGAAGTTTACGCCACTCTGAAAAATCCTGGAGATGCCAGTGCCATACATTCATGGCATCAAGAGGAATTCGTATCAGCGCAAGCAAGCGAGCACAAATGCGTCCCAGTTGAGTCCTTTGTCATGTCAATGCGCGTAACAATGATGGTAAGTGTGACCTTAAACTAAACCGGGATGAACTAATTAAGAAATGGGAAGGCAAAAATACTAGGTTTTAGTCGAAATTGACTCTCTGTTGCATTACAGAAGATAAATACTTATTTTACGCTGAAATGAATAGCCGCGTTCCCTTTCTTGCAATAGTACGACATGTAGAGGAAACGGGCAAACAAAGGCAGTACAGCTGCAGCATTGAAAATAATGGGAGGTATCTTATCCCTCCTCATGTGTCCATTTGGCTATTAATGATATTCAACTCCGGCGGTGAAGTTGACCGCCAACTTCACATCATCCATCCGTGCGTATGTCACTGCTTGAGACATGGACGGATTGTACGAGGGTGGATGGCGATTAGTTGGTAACTACTGGTAGTGGTAGTGTGGGATTTGAGGGTCAACACAGAGAAGCGCGGATTTGGGAAATGCACTTCAAGTGTTGTTCGGTCATCTTCTTGTCCGTCAACTAAAGTATTTGTATAGTGAAGGTTGATGTTAATAAATAATAACTTTGTTCTACCTTAATCACCTCCGTGGGTATCTACACAGCCTCTCAGCTTCCCCAAGTTCCTGTCTTCGCAGGTACCAACCCGTCCCAATTTGCGTCCCTCACAAGAAGATGCCTCAACAAGTGGTGATGACATCGTTTTCATGTGCATGGCCTATTTCTTGTTATTCACTTCGACTCCTTACCTCAGCGCCTTACGTGAATGGCATAGCTGTGAGCACAAGGAGAAGCACCATAATAAAACAGGCGAAGTCGTTAATGGAAATTTGAGTTTGGGGATGCGCAAGTAAAATGCACTCAAGTAATACGATTAGTGTATTCTGTTTTTTGAAAACGCCTTTTGATACACCCAACTAGGGTGGAGCCACACCTGCTCGTCACCACTAATGAGGCGAATACCGGAGACTGGCGCACAGCCGTGGAGTGGATTCGATTGATGGCTAGTGGAAACATCACCACTACTAATACCTCATGCGCAGGTGGTGTGGATGTGGTTAGACCGCTTGACAGGCATCAGTCCTTCATTAGTGTTAATACATACACTATGCAGGCGATCTGCTCACATCTCGGTACATCCTCCTCCGCCTTAGCCAAATATAAACCACTGTGCACCTTCCCTTCACCTCCTTGCCTATCACCCTGTGAGTTGTGGATGTGGCATTATAGGTCTACTTCCACTTCCGTAAATGAACATCACATGCATTGAATTGTCCACGCTTTCTTGGAGATAGTATTACTTCGTACATCTCTGTTGGCGCAGCCTTGGTGCAAGTGGTTGGAACTTGACGTTGTGGCTGAATGTAATAATGCACTAGGCGTGTGAATGTTGTGGTGACAAAGATTTTTCTTCGCATCTATCGAACAATACTTCAAAAATGTTTTCGTTAACTTACATACATTAGTTATTCACTAGCAAATAAATCACTGCTACTTAAGCGAAGGCTCTTTTGCTATTTCAAAAGCGTAGTCTAACTCAATAGTAAAATAATAACTTCAAACGCTCCGATTTCGTGCCTGTGTTAGGTAGTGAATGCTTTATTACTCGTGCATGAGGCTCAACAAATGCCTTTTACCACAAACAAACAATTTGTGAGTGCATATTGTTTGCAGACATCTGTGTTTATCTTGGGATGACATGGACAGATTTAATGCGTTTTGGCTGTAATGGGAAACGTGTAGTTACGGAGCCAGAAAATAAATCCCCTACGTTAATAAACCTGAAGGAATCACTCACCACCTGTGCTGCCCAAGTGCGTTCTGTTCTGTTGGTGGTACAGCAGGGCGTTGACGAAATCTAACATCATGCTTATATAATGTTCATGGAGTAGATCATCTCCACACCGGATTGTAATAGTCATGTCTCCTTTCCTTAGTCCTTTAGTCCTTTTTACAACCACTAGCAAGGTCAGTGAAATATGCAACTATTTCCACACATTCGAAGCTAGAGAGTGGATGGATTAGTCAACGCTTAATTTGTGGGCTAGGCAGGTCATTTAAGCAAGGTTGTGGCTGCCTCTAGCGTCAGCCTGGGCTCTGGAAACAGCCTGTGACAAACAGTGCTAGGCTCTTGACCGCAGAGTGGCATTAATAACAGAATCGCATAATTTGCAGGGCAAGCAAGCCTGCACTCTATCAGGTGACTCACAAAATCGGCATACCCCACGAGAAGCCGAGATGGATCTCTCAGCAAAACATCTCACGACTACCCCAGCATCTCAAATCCATTCAATACTTTACGACCCATCATACCGCCCTGTCCATCCAACACATTGGCAAACATTTTTTCTCTCTATGAAAACATTGAAGGTAACAAATCACTCAGACTATTTATTGCTCCAGAAAAATATGCAAGTAAAGACGAAACAAGGTGGCTCTTCACTGGGTAGACTAGCATCCGAGCTATGCTAGTAGCTCCGAGCCCTTCTGTATTTCGAACGTATATGTTCTGCCCCACTACTATGCCTTCTTTCTTCTTCCGAATTGTCTCATGGCACCACATTAGTTGCATTTTAAAATGAGCCTGATCTTGAAAAGCACCTACTTTGATTTCCACTGCTGGGTAGAAGAAATACACATGTTACGGATGAAGGAATCGGTTAGGGACCCAAACAGAAGAGCTAGAATTGAGGTCTACCCTCCGCAGCTACTCCAGTCCCCTGTTCTGCAAAAAAGTTATTAGCCGTTAAGGCGATACTAGCCCTGAACTATCCGAAATTTTCGTTACAGAGGTTCCCTGTCGTGTCTGCATAAAACCCTCAATAAAGTGAACTCGTGATGCCTTCTCCACCCCTCTGGAAGCTAAAAAGAGTCCGAATAGGTATGACCGGGCAACACTGAAGTGAGCACAAAGTGGTAAGGAGGAACAAAAGCAAAATTGCTCCCAAAGGATCTGTGTTAAAGCCCGCTTTTAGTCCAGTGTTCCTATGCCTGCCTATGGACAAGCGTAATAGACAGTAAAGTTCCCTCCCTTGAATCTAGTCTCTCAACCGACCGAAACCGCAGATCCATATGAATTGTCAAGAGGAATCAGTAACCTTGTGGTCAAGTATGTCCCTATTCTCATAGAAATTTGATTGCTGGCACTGCCGAATCATGGGTGCTTACTCACAGCACCGACTACCTTGTGATGGCTGACTCAGGAGGTTTGACCATGGGGAGGGGCAAGGGCGATGCCCAAAAGAGAAAAGGAGTAATGCAGTACGTTGGCTGCTTGTCTAACTCTTTGTTTTGGTGAAAGACCACTTTTTGTCCTAGTGGTGGGTAACCTCTATACCATGGCATTATCCCCTACGTACACATATGTCTATGTCCTGCCCAAGTGTTATATCTTCTTCCGTCTTCAGGGTAGCCTCGGACGTCTACATTTATTTATTCATTAACGCATTTGATTTTTGCTGGCAAAATTTTATACATATATATATATATATATGTTTTTATATATACTGGGAAAGGTATGCTTAAATACATGATAAATTATTAGTGAGTTGTTGTGTACTTAAGTGTGGATGAATCCGTGAATAATATATATTGTGCATTGACGAAATTTCCCATACACATTTATGCACATAAATAAATTTATACTTAAATGTAGGTACATATTTGTAGCCTCCTGAGACTTCCTTGAGGACAAAAGAAGGCAGAACATATATTTATTTATTTATTTATTTATTTGGCAAAGGGATTACTGGCATTGTCTGGAGGCCAGCCCCCTCCGAAGTACAATTGTAATACGATTGTGGTTTATCCCTCCTCATTGGTGAGGCGCCACTTTCGTACTTTGAACTAGTCTACTTCTGCCTCGCAGAGTGTGCCGGCCATTCGTGGCATGCCAATAGCCCTGACACCTTCTCTGTGCTGAGTATATACTCTACCCGAGTATTGTGTCTTCTTTCATCGTATCTTGGGGGTCTCGGGACGCTACATTGGTGGCAGAGGAAAGCAAAACCGATCTTAAAGGACATGTATCCTGATTTTCCACTTCTGCGTAATAAACTTTAGTGGAGCGGAAGGAGTACATATGCTGCGGATGGGAGAATGGTGATGACCCCTAATAGAAGGGTCGGTGTTGACGTCTACCTTCGGCATCCCTCCCAGTCCCGTGTTCTGCAGAAAAGCTGGTAACAACTGAAGCGACACTAGCCGTGAACCATCTGGAAGTTTCGTTACGGACATTCCCTACTGTTCCCCATGACCTGCATTAAATCCCATCCTTCCTTACAGAAATCTACTTTTAGGCCAGTGTTCCTGCATCCATC